AGACAAACAAACAAACAAACAAACAGGAAAAAATTTGATTTTAAATGGTATTCGAGTAATCAAATTTTTTGACTCCTTTTATCGCGGGTTTTTTATACAAATTAACGTGTCATTAGATAAATAATAATAATAATAATACGTTTTTGGTTTTTGTTGTTGTTTGTTGTTTGTTGTTGTTGTCGTTGTTGCCACTTTTTTTTTTTTTTTTGTTTTTACCACACGTTTTAGGGAAAGTTTAAATCGATTCGCGTATATACATAAAGTTAATAACGTTCATTATTAATATCGTTTTATTATTATTATTATTATTATTATCATTATTATTATTATTATTATTATTATTATTATTATTATTATTATTTATTAAACGGAGAAAGTGTGAATCGATAAACGCATTAACGATTTTTTTTTTATTTTTTATTTTTTTTCGGAGAAAAACTTGAAAATTCCAGTTTTTACGCCATTTTATAATTCCGTCGTTTCCGTATTTGAAAAATAATAATAATAATAATAATAATAATAATAGTAATAATAATGATGATAAAGGATTGGATTTTTTTTTTCTTTCGATTCGTATATCGTCTGCTATAAATTGTTTTTCGAGTTAGTTTCGTTTCGATATTTTCCCCGCGAACTTTTTTTTTTTATTTCTGTCGAAATCACGTCGGCTCACGTTCGAAATGGCAAATTTTTTTTTTTTTTAATTTTATTTTTAGATTCGAGATTCGACATCTTATATTTGTTATGAAATTCAAACTGTGACGTCATTTCCGTCGAGTTTTTCTTTCTTTTTTAAAAAGTCGAGTTTGAAGGAGTTAATTTAAAGAGAAAAAAAAAATTAGATTTGATTTAATTTCGTGCCTCTTTTTTTTTTTTTTTTTTTAACGTCTCTTTATTATTATTATCATCATCATTATTATTATTATCATCATCATTATCATTATTATCGTCATCATTATTATTATTTATAAACGTTATTTCCTTTTTTATTTTATTCGTCGTTTACAATGACCGTCGTTACGCGGCGAGCGACCGGAAAAACTTTTAACGGGTTTTAAAATTTTTGTTTTTTTTCCCTCTCTCTCCCCCCTCCCCCCCCCCCGTAAATTTTGTTCGAATATTTTTTCGCACGTCAATAGGGCAAGGTCAAAAGGTCATAAGAGAAGATAGTTGTGAGAATTTTTTTTTTTCGTAACTTAAATCTCAATATATAAATATATAACGCTTGTTTTTAATTTTTTGCCGAAAGTCACACATTAATTATTTCCCTCCCCCCCACTACCCTTAGTGAGTATATCGAGTATCATGGATGCCGTTTATTATTATTATTATTAAAGGTATTGATGAGTAGTAGGAGGGGGGAGGGAGGATTTATATAAAAATTAAATAAAAAAAAAAAACAAAGAAAGTTTTAAATTTGCTCTCTCTCCGGTTATTCGTTTACCAAAAAAAAAAAAAAAAAAAAAAAAAAACGAAATGGAAGGGGAGGTAGGGGAGGAGAGGGAAGGAAAGGGAAGGGAAGAGGGGAAACTTATTAATACATGTATATATGTATGTATTTTTTTTTTTTTTTTTTAATTGATGGTCGAATTGTTTGCCGCGCGCCAAAAACAAAATTAATAACAGTAAAATGTAAATGCGGCAAAGTACAGATAGATAGATGGATGATTGTGACTTTCTCTTTCTCCATTTCATTATCATTCCATTTTTATCATTATTATCGCCGTTGTTGTTGTTTTTATTATTATTATCATCATCATTATTATTATTGGAAAAAGGGAAGCTTAAACGTATAAGCGAGAAATCCGCGTGATTTCACATATTTAATTAATATTAACTCGATTTTGTTGTTAAAAAAAATGGTGGTTTAAAGTTTCCGCAAGAGGAAAAGAAAAACACGTGGGAGGTTTTTAAACCTGTTCAAGTATTATTATTATTATTATTTTTTGGAATTTTACGGTGTCGGGTTTCGTTTGTTTGCAAAAAGAAAAAAAAAAAAAATTAAACGGTTTACGGTTGATGTAAAAACACTTATTGAAATTCGTTTTTTTTTTTTTTTTTGTATACCTCCGCCATCATGGATCGTTAATTATTTAATTCTTCTCCTTCTTCTTCTTCTTGTTCTTCTTCTTGGAGTGTTAATAAGAAAGCGAAAGAAGAAAGAAGAAAAAGAAGAAAAAAAAATTATTATTATTATTCCGGTAAGAAATTTATCAAGAGGAAATGAGCAATTATCATCATCGTTCGACCCAAATTTTTTTTTTTTTTTTTTATAGCATACGACGAAGAATTTATTATTATCATTATTATTATTATTATTTAAATCGACGATGAGAATCTCGAAACGTATTTAAAAAAACGGTTTTTTTTTTTTTTTGAAGCTCATGAATAAATTTAATAAAGAAAACGAAAGAAAAAAAAAAAAAGGTCAAACAATAAAGGAGTTGGAATAAAAAAAAAAAAAAAAAAGAATGCGTACAATAAGTTTTTACGATGTCAACGAACGCCGACGCTCATATGTGCATACGTACGTACGTGTGTTTTAATTAATTATTATTATTATTAACAAACAAACAAACAAACAAACCGACCGACCGAACAAACCGATCAACCAACCGTAAGACGGTTATTACCGTAAATGGAATTTTAAGAAAAAGGAAAAAGTGCGACAGCGAGAAAAGAAAATTTTTTTTTTTTTTCCGACAAGATGGGATAATATAAAAAGAACGAATAGATTGTAATTCGATTATGTGAAAAAGAAATTTTCTTACGTTAATGTGACACCGTAATGAAAATCATTGTGTGACGTTTAAAACAAACGAAAAAAAAAAAAAAAAAAAAATGTTTGTTTACCAAATTATCGAATCTCGAAGGTTTTGTTTTTTTTTTTTTTTTTTTCGAGGTCGATATTCTGGACTAATGGAGAAAAAGAAAAAAGGAACGACGATAATGATAATGATGATAATGATACATTTTATAGTACGAAGGGAGAAACGAAAACGACAACAACAACAACAACAACTTAAAAATTGTTGGTTGTCGAAATGATTTTTTTCAAGGTTTTATAACAAGGAAATAATTAAGAGCCGTTCCCCCCCCCCCGCAACACAAAATTTATCGATCGATATATCGATTTGTCTTTTAAATAAATTTAATTAATTTTTATTTACGTTCGATTTTATTTATTTATTTAATTAATTAATTAAAAGGGTTATTTATTTATTTATTTATTTTTTGTAAATTTGTCGTCGAGCGGTTTCTTTGTGTGTGTGTGTGTGTGTGTGCGCATGCGCGAGTCGTAATTTTACCTGAAAAAAAAAATTACCTGAGGGAAACCGGTTAAATATTTGAAATTTTCACTTTTCATCATTCGAAAGTGTCGTAAATTCATCATCGAGTTATCGCAATCCATCGATCGATCGATCGATTTATCGAAACGATTATTTCCTAAACGGTCGTTTTGAGTAATTAAGGGAAAGGAAATAAATAAATAAATAAATATCACGTCGGTTAATAATGTTAATAATTTTTTTTTTTTTTTTTTTTTATAATTAGATTTGACTTTTTCGTTTAATCGCCGCCGCCATTAATTTTTAAAAAGGGAAAAAAAATTAACGGACGACATTTTATTTATTTATTTATTATTATTTTTATTCGCAAACGTGTTTTATTTTCGTTTTCGTCAAATTCGTATTGTTTTAAATTAAAAAAATTTTTTTTTTTTTGTATTTATTAAAAAGATTTGCTCATGTCATTTTGTAAATAAAAATACGCATATATTTTTTGGCTAATAATCAGAGTTTATATTCGTGTGTATGTATTATCATTATTATTATTTGTTATAACGTCGTACATGCCAAAAAACTAACGGAAATTGTAAATAAAACATTAGAAAATCGATCGCAAGCGTTAAAACGTTTTTTTTTTTTTTTTTTTATTATTAACATTAATATTTATTAAAACAAAAGAGAAACAATATCTGTTTATTAATAAATAAATAAATAAATTATTTACAAACATTCATCTTATTCGTCGTGGATTGATATCGTGTGTGCGTGTGTGTGTGTGTGTACGATTTGACGACTATTATTATTATCATTATTATTTTAGGTTAAAAAAAGTTATTGTGCAAAAAAAAAAAAAACAGACTAGAAAGAACGACCCATGTTTTTTCTTTTGGCACCATTTTATTTATTTTTATTCACGTTGACCCCTTTTTTAATTTGAACTCTTGAAGAGAATATACGTTACGTAATGTTTTTCGAAACTAATTATACGTTTTAATTTCACGTTGTTTAAAAAACAAAAAAAAAAAAAAAAACATAAAATAACGAAATTATCGATCGAATCAAAACCTAAAAACAAAAAAAAAAAAAAAAATGGCGCCCGTATAAATTTTCAAACGTCTACGTGTCCAAGTGTTTTACAAGTGCCTTTAAAAAAATAATTAATTGATCTTTTGTTAATTAACAAGACGGCAAACTTTACAGAAAAAAAAAAAATTTGAACGTTATGTTGGTAATACATTAAAAGATTTTCAATATCGATCAATAAATTATTTAGAAATCCAATAATAATAATAATAATAATAATAATAATAATAATAATAATTAAATAAAAGTCTGGTCTGGTTTGTTTAATTTTTTTTAAAAATCCAAATGGATAATTAGAGATTAATTAGAGATTACGCGGATTAATTAATTTTGAAATGAATTTTCTAAAAAATAATTTACGAAACGTTTAATAATAATAATAATAATTTTAAAAAATTCCGACATTTTTCAATAAAAAAATTGTTTTCTAAATAAATAAAATGTTGATCGTGAATTGTTGTTTGTTAATATTTATTTGTTTATTTTTTGTTGTTTTCAGATTCTAATCACAATGGTAGTGGTGGTATGGTAGTGTCAAAAACAGGGTCTGCAGTTATGACCAATAATAATAATAATAATAACAATGTCAACAATAACAACAATAACAACAACAACAGTGTCAAATCAATGTCCTCGTTTCAAAATAAATCGTTAAGACAAACGCAAAAGGGAAACGAGACACTCCACTCTGTGAAAAATGGTTGCATACACGGGCCCATAAAGGAAATAAACAAAGGATTAATAAAACAGTTGATGCATAACAGCAGAGCTTTCGAATCAATCGCCATTTTGTTAAGCTATTGCACCAACGACGTAGGTTTCTTTTTAAATTTTTTTTTTAAATTTTTTTGCGTAGATTTAATTACCTATGTGATTCGTTAATTACGTTGTTTTTTTTTTTTTTCTATTGACACGACGGCGCGATTGGTCTTTAATTATTTATTAGTTGATGAGGAAAAAAAAAAACGTGCGTTCGTTTGTGTTATCCATCTTGCCGAACATCATGCAAACACTCGCACGCAAACACACACACACACACGTGAATGTTTTCGTATCGAAATATCTCGAATGAGTACATCTCGTATTTCGATTCGATGTCGGTTATTAAATTTACCGTAATTACGCACTCGTACGGTCATTGATCACGACGTATCTTGATGCATTCTCATAGAGAAAATAAAAAAAAAAAAAAACTTGTTGCGTGTTTCCGCCCCCTCCCCTCGCCCCCCCCCGCCCGGCCGATCCTCTCAAAATTTGAAAAAAATTATCAAAGCAAACAAAACGTTACCTTTTTTTTTTTTAAAATCTCTTAATGGTAATTTTCTATCTCTCTCTCTCTCTTTCCCGAAGAAGTTTGTCGAACGTTTATAATATGTTAACAAACAAAAAAAAACATGAAATTCAATGCAAAGTTTTTTTTTTTTTTTTTGATAATTTAGGTTGTTGACTTGGAGAATGTTGTGTAAACATTTTTAATTTTCTCAAGTTGACACGCATGACGATGAATTTTTTTTAATGAATTTTTTTTTTCTCTTTCTCTCTCTTTCCATCTCCAGTTGGACGCCTTTTCAATGCCGCATCTTAAGAAAAAATTAGAAATGGAAAAGGAAAAATATGTGAAAGCCGAGACGGACATAAAAGATCTACAATCGAGATTGATGAGGGTGAGACAAGAACTCAACGATAAAGAAGTTGTCATAACGGAATTGAACAACGACAAAATAACGTTGGGAGAGAAAAGTGAAAAATATGAAAAACTAGTCGAAGAATTAACGAGCAAGTTGGACGCGGCGTCGGAGGAAAAACTTGCCGCGGAAAATACGCTTTTGGAAAAATGCGAAAATTTAAGGTGCCTCAAAAGAGAATTGAGTATTAGGACTGATAAATTGGAAAATGAAAAAGACAGTTTAGTTAATTGTTTGTCGGAAGTTAAAAAGGAAAATGTCGTACTCAAAAGTGCTAACAGAGAAATCAAAGAAGAGTACGATAAGTGTTTGTTAGAAAACCAAAGATTAGTGGAACAAATAGCGAGGAGGAGGAGGGAAAACGAAGTGATTCGAATCGGAAAGGAAAATCACGGTGGGGAAGGAGAGGAAGATGTTTTCGCGAGAGGGCAGAGGCAGAGGAAAAACAGTTTAAAAGAAAAATCACCGGAAAGATTAACGACGAATTGTCAAAACGGTTGCGAAAAATCATTTGGGAAAATCATTGTCGCGAGTTCATCACCGACCGCGTTCAATCCGAATTGTTTGGAAAGCGAAATAGAATCTCTTCGTCAAGTGTTGGCGCTCAAAACGGACGAAGTCACGGAATTGAGGAGGCAGGAATTATCATTGAGGGAAAATGCGGACAGAGTGCCAAAATTATTGTCCACCATTACGATGCTAGAGGGAAAAGTGGAAGATTTGCAGTCTCAATTATCTAGTCAAACGGAAACCGTCAGGTAGGGCGTGTTTAAATCGAAAAAAAAAAAAAAACCGTTGAAACATCGAGTTGACGTCACTCATTTTCATTTTCTTGTTTTTCCAGGGATTTATTTAAGAGTAACGAACATTTAGAAGATGAATTAAAATCCGCAAACATTCAAAAAACTCGTCTGACTCATAAAAACGAAGAATTGCAATACAAATTGAAACAATACGCGGAAGCAATGAAACAATTGGCAACGCAGAAAAACCTTTCGGAAAAAAGTATAAAATCCGATAACTTGTCAGTGTAAGTAAAATAATTTAGGCGATGGCGATGGCGACGAGGATCGCGACGACAAAGTAAACGTTTACGGGTTTTTTTTTTTTTTATTTTCAGAAAATCAAATTTGAAAAAATCAGACGTGAGTTTAGACGATTCAGTTAAATCACAAATGAAAGGAGTCGTGGAAAAAAGCGATTCCGTGTCGTACATGTTGGAAATGACGGAAGATTCCTCGGAAATCGTCACCAACATAATACGAAGAGCCGAAAGTCTTCGTTCGACGTCAAAGGATCATCATCAAGGTTTGGCAAAAAAGAAAAGATGTAAACCGTCGACGTCGTCGGCGGTGAGTTACGTGGATGCCTCGTCGATAAAACGTAATTTATCCGTCGAAGATGATTTTTCACCAAGTTCGGCATCGACTCCGAAACCGAATCCGTCGGAATTGGACGGATACGACAGACGCGTCGCGTCACTATCAAACGACAATAAATACGATTCGAATCGGGATTGTCCGTCACCCTCGCGTCACCTTCACCCCTCGTATTCCGCGAAAAAACACGTTAAATTAAACGAAGATGATTTTTCAACGTCGCTCATTGATTTGGGTCCGGGTGACGAGAATTGCGAAATAATTGAAATAACTAAAAATTTCGATAAAACGACGGATAAAAACGAGGGCGATGATGGCGACGCCATGATGATGATGATGATGACGACGAGCACGAGTTCGACGGCGAGCACGAGTTCGACGTCGAACGGAAGTCATTTCGATATTGAATCCGACGTTTTCACAAATTTGGATCAAAACGATCGAAACGACGTCGGGGATCCGGACGAGGAAACGTCGGAAAATTCGGAAATACAAGAAAACGGTTCTTCGTCGATGATACGAACGTACAGGAGGGAAAAGGAAAACATACAACCCGTTTTACCCGTTTACACGGATTTAGAACCGAGTCCAATAGAAAATCATCATTATTCGAATTCGAAAACTCCCGCCAACGTCGGCGGGGGTCCCATTCACAATCAATACATGAGCAACGGTAAAAATTTCGTCACGGGAATACCGAAAATATCCGGCGGGGAGACAATGATCGGACTTTCGAGCGACGACGAAGAAATAGAAAAAATCAAAAGGATATACAACGAATAGGGGAAAAAAAAAAAAAAATTGTTTCTTTTTGTTTTCAATGGAGGGAGGGGGGAAATCACGTGAGAAAATTATAATTTTTATAATTTTCAATTGAAAATCACAATCGAATTCAGTATTATTATTATTATTATTATTATTATATTTAGTCCAGGGAACGTGTGTGAAAAAGTTAGTTGCGTTTTATATTATATAATCAAATACATGTTTTCATTTTTCATTTTTTTTTTTTTTTTTTGCAAATGCCGTAAATATATATATATATTTAATTTTTTTTTACTCACACGCACGCACGCACGCACGCACGTGTATTTTTATTTGAAAAAGGTCAAAGGGCGTTAATGAATGAATGAATGAATGAATGCGTAGAGCACCCCATACGTGGTGTGTGGTCGTCGTCAAGAAAGATCCGATTTTTACAAAAAAAAAAAAACTTTTTTCTACGTAAAAAAAAAAATACGATGATGATGTAATCATGATGATGATAATAATGATAATGAAAAATTATGTTAATTTTTTGAGGGGGTGGGGTGGGATGGGGGGGGAAACGTCTTGTTTTTTTTTTGCAATTTTTAATTCATGATAAATCTTTGATCGCGATTCAATAATACAAAATACTCAAAGAGGTTGAATAATTATTATTATTATTATTATCAATATTATTATTTATTATCATTATTATTATTTGAAAAAAAAATTCAACCGACATTCCGGAAATGGGTATAAAAAAAAATTAAAAAAAAAAAAAATCGTTTTTTTGTTCGCACACAATCTAATTAAAAACCATTTTGGGGAGGGTAGGAAGGGTTGAAGTTGTTATCGTAAGAAAAATATATATCGGCACAAGTTAACCATTTTTATAAAGTTCTTTTAAAAATATTTACGTATAAGATGATTGATCGTCTTACATATATACTATTATTATTATTATTAATAAATTTTTTACTATTATCGATAACGACGAATATGTTTATTTATTTAATGTTACTATGTTATTACAATTATTATAATGCAACACAAAAATAATAATAATAATAATAATATTACAAATAAATAAATTGTACATAATTAATAATAATAAATTTTTTTAATATTCGTACATCGTAACGAGATGATAATAATAATGATAATAATAATAATAATAATTGAGAATATATGAGTGTACGAGATTAAAAAAAAAAATTTATTTTTGTTGTTTATTAAAATGATATTATTATTATTATTTTGCGATTTTTTTGATTGAATGAATCGTGTCGGAAAACGTTGTTTTTATTATTATTATTATTATTATTTTGTTACGATTAATAAATTATTATTTATTGAATTTATTTTTTATGAAAATAATTAATAAGAAATTTAAAAAAAAAAAAAAAAGTAACAGCGACGGCATTTTGATTGTTTCATTTTTTTTAAATAAATAAATAAATAAATCCGTGAGATGTTTAATAATAGTTATGTTGTTGTTAAAACGATGATGATAATGATGATGATAAATACGATGTTGATAATAATAATAATACGTAAAATTTAAATAAAAAAAATAAAATAAATTTTTTTTTTTTCGGGGCGTGCGTGTACGTACATGTTTTCTTTTCTTCGACGTAATCTCTTTTAAATAATCTTATCCATTGATTTAAATAATAATAATAATAATAATAATAATAATAATAATATTGATTGTTAAACGTTATTATTATTATTATCGCGACGGTAATAATTTTGTATAAAAAAAAATCGATCTCTTTGTTTATTTAAAAAAAAAAAAAATTTAAAATTTCGTTTAATTTATTTACAAATTATTATTATTATTATTACGGGGAGTGGGGGGAGAGAAGGGAGGGAGGGAAAAATTACCCTACTTATTATTATTATTATTATCTTTTATTTATTTACTTATTATTTATTTATTTGAAGCCTTTGAAAAAAAAAATAAATTAAAATAATTGTTTCTTCTTTTTTCTCTTTCAAATTATTTTTTTTTTTTAAAAACAAAGGAAATTATTACTCTAGTCTTATTATTATTATTATTATTATTATTATTAGCATCATTAAATGATATAAGATAAAATAAAATACATAAATACATAAACAAACGTTTAATTGGAGTTTGTTCGGGGGCGGAAAACGATCGAAAGATTTATCAAATTACTATTATTATTATTATTACCAATGTAAAGGAAAAAAAATTGATATTATTATTATTATCGGTAATGCATGGACTTATTATATATGTATATTTTTTTATAATATTATTATTATTATTATTATGATTACAAACCAATCGGAAATTTATTAATATTATTCTTTCTACTTTCTATATTAACTCTCTGTTATTAAATAAAATAATAATGATGATGATAATATATAAATGATAATTATTGGTAGAAAACAAAATGGCGGACGGTTTGATTCCATTGTACATAAAAAAAAATACACTCGATTGTTTTTTATTATTATTATTATTATTATTAATATTATTATTTAAAAATATTGTTGGTGAAATTATTATAAGATTGTAAAACAGTGTATATTGATATAATATAAGTGATAATTCATTTTAAAATTCCGTGTGTTCTGTTTTTTTTTTTTTTTCGATGATAACAATAATAATGATTATAATTATTACTTAGGTTGTTATTGTTGTTATTATTATTATTATTATTATTATTAGTAATTTATTACGTTAATATTATTTATTGATGCGTGAAATACATAAAATAATAGTAATAATAATAATAATAATAATAAAATAATTTATGTACGTTGTTTTATGTGACTCATGTGGGATTTTACGATACATTTTGTTTTTTGTTTTTTTTTTTTTTTAATTTTATGTAAATTTTAAGGATGATTTATGCGGGGAGGGGGGCATAGGTCAATTGGGGGGCACTGAGAGGGAGGAGGAGAGAAGAAACGGAACGGTGTTGGTCAGGAGCGAAGTTCGGGTTGGTCAGGGAAAAAAAAAATTTTTTTGTGATTTTCACGCCGGGAAGTGGAGGGTAGGGGGGCAAGACCTTATTTCGGTGCCCCAAATAATTGTAAAATTAAAATTTTATCGGTTTTATTAAATCTTTTCCTTTCCCCCCTCTTCCCTACTTTCCTCCTCTCCCTTTCTTAATTTATACGAAATGATTTTCCTTTTTTTTTTTTTTTAATTTTAACATCGATTATATAATCAACTTGAATAATCACAATTAAATACATTTTTGCTCTTCCCCTCTCCCCCTTTAATACCTTAGCGATCCTTCACGATTCCCCCTCTCCCCTCTTCCTTTTGTTTCAAATAATTACAATTAGAATAAAAAGAAAAAGAGGGCGCGGGTGTGCAAGGATTAAAATTAATCAAATAAATTGACACGCGGTTACATCATGTTAATTTATTTAATTAATTTTAATAGTTTTATTTAATTATTTAGTTATAAATTATGTATCAAAAGTTTTGTTATTGAGTCTAGTTTTTGGTGGTATAATTAGTTTTTTATATTATTTAGTGATAATTACATTATTTAAAGTTTAAAATTTTTCAAATAGTCAAACGGTTCCATGTGACAAATGGAAGCGTGGGCGATAAAAAATCTTAGAAGATGTCCTAGTACATTTGATTATTACGGTTAAGTATCTCATTTTATTCATTGAATTTCATTTGCAAAAACGTTTGGCTAACAAAAAAATGGAGCCAAATACCCAAAAAATGTTTTAAAATTCTACATTTATTTTGGTTAATTATGACGAGTTTAACTAAAAATCTTTTTCATCTCATCATAAAAAAGATTTGGGGTATTTTAATAAAAATATTTATTAATAATTCATTTGATATACATAACTCAGTGTACAAATTTCTATACTCTAATCTTTAAGGGTGAATTTACTGATTATTGGTTGTTTTAAGGTTTTTCTTGAGTTAGTTTGTCTCATCACAACATATTTTGCCACATTTTTAGTGTAAAATTCACTTTTAATTTCAAATAAGATTGGAAAAATTTAACTGCCTTCAGGTTACTTAAGTTTATAGGTAGAAAATTGTAATTTGTATACATTAAGGATGAAATGCATGAGGGAAAATTATGAAATGGGAAAATAGTAGGAAAATTAAGTATTGAAATAGTTCTGAGGAAAAATTTTTATGATGACTGATTCATAATTGTAATAGAGGAAAATGTGAGCCAGATAAAGACAGAACCAATACAAATTTTGTTCTATCCTGAACCTAGTCAGCTCTTCACAAGGTTGTAAATCCCACTTCTCCTGTTCCTGTCTCCACTCCACAGATGTCAGTCACTGGAGCACAGGAATACAGAAAATAACTTGTTTCCATCAAAGTATATGGTTTCAGTGAGACTTACAAAAATTGTTATGACGACATAGACGAAACAAGACGAAACCTATCCGTCAAGCATGCATACTGAAATTCAGGGATTTATTCCTTAGGGATCGGCAGGTATAAACCTGCAATAAAAAGCTTCGATAAACGATAAAACAAATTGTCGTGAGATTATGAGTGAAAATAATAATAATAATAAATACTAAAAATTCATGTATAGAAAGAAAACATTCTTCGATACACACGCAACATCCGCCGCCGGTTAAATTTCGATTGATTACAAAAAAAAAAAAAAAAACTGGAAAAAAATTTAAAAAAAAGGGGGAAACCCGTGAAAAAATGGTCAGCGAAAGGGAGAGGAAGGGGAGGGAGGGAGGGAGGGGAGAAAAAGAAAAAAAAAATTTTTTTCAAAAAGTCTGACTAATAAAATTTTTTAATTTTTTGTTTTTCCATACCGCGGATAAAATAAATACCCGCAATATCTGCAGGATTGAAAGTGTCATTAAAAAAAAAACAAATGACGTCATAAATTTTTAATTTAATGACACGTTTAAATTTCTTTCCTTTTCTTTTGTTCATTACCTTTATGAAAACCGTAAATAAAAATTTCATTACTTGGAAAAAAATTTTTTTATTATACGACATTTGTAATTTTTTTTTTCAAGGTTTAAAACAACAGCAACAACAACAACAACAGCAACAGCAAAGAATAATAATAATAATAATAATAACAAATATTACCTAATATATTTAGAGGGGGGGGGGAAACCTGTAATTTACAAATAGGTAAAATTTATTTTACAAAATAAAAAAAAAATTTACGATTACAACAGCCATGATGATGATGATGATGATTAACAATAATAATAATAATAAATTAATATTATTTTATGACTTGTACAAAAGCTGTTAATTTTACGATGGGTAATTTTTTTACGGTTTAATATAACCGAAAAACTAAAAACTAAAAAATAAAAAAATTTGGTGAGCTGTTGTTGGCATTGAATTTTTTTTACGTTGTAAATAATTACCGTTATTATTATTATTATTATTATAACGTGGATGTAATTTGAAGAATTTGAAAAGTAATAAATTTTACGATGAAAAAACGAGAGAGAGAGAGAGGGAAATAAGGAAGGAGAAGAAAGAAAGAGGGAGAGAGAGAGAGAGAAAAATTATGTTTCGTTTTTTTTTTTTTTTTTCAGTTGAACGGTTCCACGCAAGAAAGTCTTTCACCCTCCGCCGTTCGTTCGCGAACGGCTTTTTTCCCAACAGTCTTAAAAAAAATTTTGTACCAGTCACCACTGTTGTTCTCTCGATAATAAACATGTTTTACTTTTTTTTTTTTTTGTTGTTTTCATACAAGAAATAGAATAAAATAAAATAAAATTTCTGTTGCTGTTGTTGTTTTGTTTTCTCTATTTGATTTTATTAAATTAAAGAAATTTTCTTAACGGGGGGAAAAAGTGATAAAAACGAACGTTTTGTGTGTGTGACGGTTGTTATCATCATCAAACGAACGCGCGACGGTTAATGTGTGTGTGACGATTAATAAATAAATAAATGAAAATGTTACCACGGATTTTTTTTTTTACTAAATAAATAAGAAAATTTAAAAAAAAAAAAAAAAGAAAAAACGGAAAAACCCTCTTAAAATGTCCGGTACGGGTGGAAGAAAAGGCGGCGGCGGTGGTGGCGGCGGTAAAAAAAAAGAAGATGGTAATAACGAATCGAAAGAAGATGATACCGGAAGTGGAAACGGTGATAAAAAAGACTCGAATGTAAAAAACGATAAAACTTCTAATAATGGTGACGGTGAGAGTAACTTTTGATTTTTCCCGGAAAAACTCTTGGAAAATTTAGATAATGAGCGCATTAAACATATCGTTTATTTTTTTCGTTTTTTTTTTTTTTTTTGTAGTGAAACCCGGAAGTGCTGGAGTCAGCATAAGAGAAGGTAGTCACAGATTGTTGGCACTTGCAATGAGAGGAGAATGGCCCCCCGTTGATCAAGTATTAAAAGCGATTGAAAAAGCTGTCGCTGCCGGTGGAGATGATGTTAACAGCACGCCACTCTCAGGAGTCGTAGATCCCGTGAGTTTTCTTTTTTTTATTTCCCCCGCCCCCCATTGGGGTTTAAAAACAAATTGATTCCACTGTGACGTGGAACTAGTGCTACTTTTTTTTTTTTAACAAGAATAAAAATTTACATTTTATCGACCGAAAAAAATTTATCAAGTAGTCACGAGTTTGCTGTTTCCCTGTTGACCCACAGAAAAAAATTAACACAATTCGGTCATTATTCGCCCTAAATTTTTTATCCTGTTTTTTACTACCTTACAACCTTTATTTATTATTATTATTAATTCGTGACTTTATAAACTGGAACGTATTTATTTATATAAATATTATTATTATTTATAAGAACTCCTTTTGTTGTTGTTATATTATCATCAAAATTAAAATTAAATTAAAAACTGACGCCTCCCCTCTCTCTCTCCCCTTGTCTCCTCCTCTTCCGCCTCCCCCCTTTTTTTAAAATACATACGCGTCGTCCAGAGAATTCCAAAATAATTTTCATGGAGAAGTAACATACGGTTTTTTCCCCGAGTTTTGATAAAAAAAAAAAAAATTTTTTTTTTTTTTTGGGGGGGGAAGAAATTGCGTCATGAAAATTGCGACAGGACCGATTGATATTTTTCATAAAATTACGTAACAACAGAAGAAAGGGAGAATAGTAATAATAATAATAATAATAAATTGTACGTCATATGTTTTCAATCATAATAATAATAATAATAATTTTTTTGGTTGCAGATAACTGGAATGACTCCATTGATGTACGCGGTTAAAGATAATCGCACGACTTTTATCGATAGAATGATCGAATTGGGAGTCGATGTGGCTGCTAGAAATTTTGTGAGTATGATAACAACAACAACAACAACAAAATAATTTACCGGTTAAACAACCGAATGGTTTCCGTTTGTTTAAAACAAACAAACAAACAAAAAAAAATGATGACGGTTACTTTAACGAAAAATTTCTTTCTTCTTCTCACCAAATCCTTTGTGATTTCCGGTGGGTAGTGTTGGCAATATTAAGGGAAGGAGAGGGTGAGGGGGGGGAAGAAATGAAAAACTATGTCGAACGGAAATAATTATTTTATATTTTAAAAAAAATTCGGGTGTGGTTGTTTCCGGTTATTTTTTTATTAGTTTAAAACAATAATTTTTAATTATTTATAATTTGCGAGGAAAAAAAAAAATGTTGCCAACATTTCGTACGTACGATTAAATTTTCTTTCCTCGCGAAAATTATCGTTTCGTAGAAGAGAATAAATAATAATAATAATGTAAAAGCAGACGAAAAAATAAATAAACGGATTTTACGAGATGAACAAAAGATTATACAACAGCGTAAAAAAAAAAAAAAAAAAAAAAAAAAAAAACTGGAAAATTTATTAAAGGCGTGTGAAAAATTCACTTTAAAGATATCTAGACTATCTCTTTTACCATCGTGACACTGTGGCAAAATGCCGTGTTTTTCTCTTTCCCCCTCTCCCCCTCCTCCCCCCTACAATTTAAAATCGTACTCGAAAAACAAACGACAACGACAACCAACAACAACACAAAAAATATTAAAAATAATTTTAAATGCTTTTCGTCACGACCTACGCAAGAAAAAAAGAAAAAAAAATTTTTTTTTTATGTGCAAAAATTTTTTGATTTCTTTCGTTAAATTATAAACGCCGTTTGTTTGTTTGTTTGTTTGTTTGTTGTACGTGGAAAAATTAAAAAAAATTTTTTTTGTTTTTTAGGATAATTACAACGCTCTTCACATAGCTTCCATGCATTCGAGAGAAGATGTTATAAAATTATTGTTAAGTAAAAAAGGTGTCGACGTGTACGTGACGGGTGGAATGAAAGAACAAACGGCTGTTCACATGGTTGCCACAAGACAAACGGGTACAGCGACAAGCATATTAAGAATATTATTAAACGCAGCTGGAAAAGAAATACGATTGCGTACGGATGGGGTAAATTTTTTTTTTATTTTTTTTTTTCGTTTATGATCGGTCTTTCCCCGCCCCCCATTCCACCTTCCCCTCCCGTCGCGTCCATTTGTTCCAGAAAAAACAAAACAAAATTCTTATGCGTCATTTTTATGGGATTTGTTTCCTACTCCTCCTTCTCCTCCTACTCCTCCCCTTCCTCTTCCTCTTTCTTACGTTATTTAACACGTCACGGCACGAAAAAGAAAAATTAAAATTAAAGGTCAAACGAAGGAGTAGCCGCACCGCAACCCTTACGCGATTATAAAACGAGGGCGGCTATATAAAAAAATTTCCCTTTCCCCCTCTTTCTCCTCCCCCTCCTATTCCTTCAACACGGTGTAAACCATACCTGCCATTTTGTATTTTAATACCGCAGGGTCGGTGGTTTCCCCTATTAAGTCATTTTTTTTTTTAAAATAAAACAAAAGAAAAACAACCGGAAACGACTTGATGTTGTTAAGATTTTATTATTATCGTTGAAATTATTATTATTATTATTATTGTTTTTTTTTCCTAGAAAAAATGGAAAAGTCTCCCCTCGTTACTAATTTTAAAAAAAAAAAAATACTTTGATGATGTTGATTAAGCTGAAGAATTTATTAATCGCTTTTACACGGAAAAGAAATAGAAAGAGAGAGAAAGAGAAAGAGAAAGAAAAAGAGAAAGAAAGATAGGGAGGTAGGGAGAGAGATAGGTAGATAAAGTTAGAGAAAGAGAGAGAGAGAGCGATGAACAAATTTTTAACGATTTTTTATATTGGTAACATAAAATTTTAGCTATTGAGAGTCAAATGAAAAAAAAATTTATAATTTCCACGCCCCATTTTGAACCGTGAAATTATCATTATTATTATCATTATTATTATTATTAGTATTATTATTATTATTATTTGATATTTTACCGTGGCAATAAAAGTTTTCACCTACAGCAATTTGAAAAATTTAAGTTATTAAAAAAAAAAGAAAAAAGAAAAAAAAGAAAATTTCCAAGGCACCGCCCCTTTTATTTCCCACTCTTTGTTCCCCCCCCATTGCTCTCCCCTCGTTCTCCCCCCCGTCATCCCGGAATTGAAATTATTTAATTATTATTTTTTACGTTTTTTAACTTTTTTATTTTTATTATTTTCTTTTTTTCTTCTGCTTTTCTAGAAATCGTTTTTGTAATTTTATATTTCGAATATCGAATTGGGTCAAATCCGAAAAAAGAAGAAAGAAAACGGTTGGGAGAGGAGGGGGGGTAGTCGGGGGTTTAAAAACAAAAAAAATAAAATAAAAATTTTTTTTTTTTTTAAATCTCCCATCGAACGAGGATGATGATTTTTTTCGGGGGAGAGGGGAGGAGGAAGGGAAGAATAAAGATCCCCGCGTAAAAAAAAAAAACGAAAGGAGAATATTTTTTTTAGACGGGGAGGGGGGGAAACGAAAGGGGGGAAAATTCGAGTGTACCGTTACTGTCTCAGAATGATACGAATTTTAAAATTCTTTTGCTCTCTCTCTCTCTCTCTCTTTCTGTTTTTAGGGGGCGCCAGGGTTTATTTTACTTTTTATTTAAATATATACGACTCCCCGAGAAAATTTTTTTTTTCCTTCTTATGCGTTTACCTTACTACCCGAATTTTTACACTCCCCTCCCCTCACCTCGTTATTATCATCTACTTACTTAAATTAAATTTACTATTTAAGAAATTTTCTTTAAGGAACGAGTCTGTTTGTTTGTTTGTTTGTATACACAACAACCGTGACGATCGTTTCGTTTGTTTAATATATATTTTATTATTATTATTAATAATCTATAAATATTCTCAATATATTTGAGATATTTATTTTAGATAAACCAAAAAACGCGGGGGGAGAAAAGGGGGAGGGGAAATTATTTCACGAGATAATGGAATATGTCAAAACGACGTGATGTAAAATAATTTTAACCCTTTTTGAAAATAAATTTGACGAAGGGGGGGCGAGGGGGTAAAAGGAAAATAGTAAGGAATTATAAGAATGAAAACACACACATGTACACATTCTAACAGTATTCGTGAAAATTTTTTACATTTAGTTTACGTAAAAAATCCCCCCAAAAAAATATACGTAATAATAATAATAATAATTAGTAAGTTTGTTATCATTAAGGGGCTGACGAACAGGTAGGAATTTTTAAAATTTTCATTCAGGAGGGGGGTAGGGAAAAACAGGAAGAAGACAAACGGAATCGAAATTTTTTTTTTTTTTTCCTTTTTTTTGTTTAATTGTTTGAAAATTTTCTTTTTATTATTATTATTTTTTTCGTTTTCGTACAAACGTAGAAAACGAATCGTCGTCGTCATCGTGGTTGTCGTACAAACAAACAAACAAACAAAACAATTTATTAAAATTAAATAAAATGCTTAAATAATAAATTGTTTATCGTGACTTATCCAACTTAAAAACATTTTTTTTATTTTATTTGGTAATTTGAAAAAAAAAAAACAAAAAAAAAACAAAAAAAAAATAAATAATAATAATAAATAATGATGATGATAATGATGATGATGATAATAATAATAATAAGGGAAAGGTAATAAAAGAAAACGAAAAGGAGGAAAAAAATTTTGTTTTTTTTTGTGTGTTTATTTCAACGTGATGTTTACTCGTGGAAATGTCAAAAAAATAAATGAAACAAACGTACAAACAACGGATAATGCCAAAAATTTCAATTTCGATAATAATAATAGTGAATACGGTAGTGGTAGTAGTAGGATACCGTCGGGTAAAGTTAATGCCACGACGGGTAATAACGAAACGAATAATTTTTTTATAAAAAAAAATAAATTGGATGCGGGGATTGTTAGGAAAACAACCGTGAGCGGAGCTTGGGCGACGGCTTTTCAAAGAGCTTTAAATTATAAAAATTCACCAGTAAGTCTTTTATTTATTTATTATTATTATTATTACGAAAGCAGACGACGAGATGTATTATTTATCAAACAAACAAACACACAGACATTCTTAATATAATTTTATTACATGTAATAATTAAAAAAAAAAAAAAAGAAAAAAAAAATGAATCAATTTTTATAACATATTACTAAGGCAACGAACGAACGAACGAACTTTATGTTTCATATGTTTTCTTTTTTTTTTTTTTTTTTTTTTTTTTTTGTTAACAATCATATAAAATATGTTTTACATGTTTCTTTGTTTTTCGCGTCGAAATTTAATTAATTTAATATAATGACGTCATCGTTTTAATATTATTATTATTATTATAATCGGTTGTCGATCGGTTAATAATCGAGGATTTATTTTAAAAAAAAAAAAAAAAAAAAAGAAAATTTATTTTGGTTAAAAGTATTTATTCGGGGGAAAAAAATATTTGCTGTTGTTGTTGCTGTTGTGGTTGTTGTACATTTTCCTGTTGTGTTTGTGCCATTTTTTTAAACAATTAATAACGGTTTAATAAACAAACAACAAAAAAAAAACAAAACAAAAACGTCAAAGTAGAAATTATTAATAATAATTTTTTTTTTTTTTTGGTTTACGACGTAAATTATTATTATTATTATTATTATTAATATTATTATTATTATTATTATTACTTAATATTAACATCATTATCATCATCATTAATGTTTTTGTTTTTTGTTTTTTTTTTGGGGGGGGAAGGGAAAAAGTGCGGAAAAGAATTTTTTTCCAAAATATTTTTTTTTTGCCTACCTACGGCGGGTAATGCGTTGTTCGACCTTTTTCGTAACTTTTTTGTAATAATTAAGCAATTTGCAAATTGTTATTATTATTATTATTAATATTATTATTATTATTGTTAATTTGTAATGGGTGTCACACTGCGTGGAAAAATAAATTAATGGTTAATAATAAAAACGAAAAATTTGATTGTAATTTAAGTTAAATAATAGCCGGTCAAACACTCATAGAAAAAATTTGTTTTTCTTTTTTTTTTTTGTCGTGTCATTAACGATGAAAAATTAAACGTTATAAATGAATGTGTTAAAACGTTTATAAACGCTTAATCGTATTTGAATCGTTTGTTGAACGAACGCGTACATGAAAACCGAACGTTTTTTTTTTTTATAAAAAAAATGATGCGAGATCGATTTTATGGAATTTTCGATGCACTTTCTGTAAGTTAATAAAATTTTCGTCTGCATAAATAAGAAAAAGAAACTCTGGAAAGAAAAAAATATAAAATTGCATCTTGTTATTATTATTATTATTATTATAAATGTTAATTTTCAGAAAGGTAAAATACCACTTTTACTCGCCGTCGAAAGTGGTAATCAATCCATGTGCAGAGAATTATTAGGATCCCAAGCAGCCGATCAACTTCGTGCGACAACACCCGATGGTGACACGGCTCTTCATTTGGCAACAAGACGAAGGGATATCGATATGGTTAGAATACTCGTTGATTACGGTGCAGCAATTGATCTTCAAAATGTAAATACTCGTTTCCTTCACCGGAAAATCACTCTTTACATAAATATTAATTGTCAGTATTATTATTATTTTGTAGGGAGATGGTCAAACGGCTTTGCACATAGCTGCAGCGGAAGGAGATGAAGTTTTGGTTAAATATTTTTACGGTGTTAGAGCGAGCGCATCAATCGTCGACAACCAAGGTAGAGTCCAAAAAGTCCAACAAAAAAAAAATCATTTCCGGTACATAAACTGGTATTAATCCTTTTTCTACAGATCGTACTCCGATGCATTTGGCTGCTGAATATGGACACGCAAACATAATAGAATTGTTAGCCGATAAATTTAAAGCATCGATTTTTGAAAGGACGAAAGATGGTAGCACTCTCATGCACATCGCGTCTCTCAACGGTCATTCCGAGTGTGCACAAATGTTATTTAAAAAGGGAGTTTATTTACACATGCCGAATAAGGATGGGGCGAGGAGTATACATACAGCAGCACGATACGGTCACGTGGGTATAATAAACACTCTTTTGCAAAAAGGTGAAAAAGTTGACGTTACGACAAATGAAAATTACACTGCCTTGCATATAGCCGTTGAAAGTTGTAAACCTTTGGTCGTTGAAACTTTGTTAGGTTTGTTGTCGTGTTTAATATTCATTTTTTGAAATGAAATGTTGGCACAAATGAAAAAACCTCACGGTTTGTTTTGTTAAGGTTACGGAGCCGACGTTCACATAACGGGTGGTAGCCATAAAGAAACGCCACTGCATATCGCATCGAGAGTTAAAGATGGTGATCGTTGTGCCTTAATGCTCCTTAAATCAGGTGCAGGACCCAATATAACGACGGAAGATGGTGAAACTTCCGTTCACGTCGCAGCAAAATACGGTAACGCGACAACTTTGAGTTTGTTGCTTGAAGATAACGGGGATCCATTGTTTAGAAACAAACTCGGTGAAACGCCTTTACATTTGGCATGCAGGTAATCGTTTAAAAAAATTTTATTTGTTTTTATTTATAAAAAAAAAAATCAAAATGGTTAATCTTTTTTTTTTGTAGAGGTTGTAAAAGTGATGTTGTTAAACTTCTGATAGATTTTGTTAGAGAAAAAAAAGGGCCCGAGGTTGCTACAAGTTATATAAATGCCGTTAACGATAATGGAGCAAGTGCTTTGCATTACGCGGCAAAAGTTTCTAAAACGGAAGTGGAACGCCCTCTTGAAGATCAAGAAGTTGTTAGACTTTTACTAGAAAGTGGAGCAAACTCTTCACTCATGACAAAACATGTAATTAATTTTATTACCATGTGAATATTTTATTTCTTTTTTTAATGGAGTTTGAAAATTGTACAATAATATAATTGCAGGCTTTGGAAACAGCGTTTCACTATTGTGCCGAAGCAGGAAATAATGACGTCATGACGGAAATGATTTCTCAAATGAATGCGACGGACGTGCAAAAAGCGTTAAACAAACAATCCGCTGTCGGATGGACACCGTTACTCATTGCTTGTCATAAAGGTCCTTTCAAATGATTTAGTACCTTTCGAAAAGAAAAACATAACGCGGGGAGGAGGGGGGTGTTGAATGATTTTCTACAAAAAATCTGTCTTTTTGTTTTATTCAGGCCATATGGAATTGGTAAACAATTTGTTGGCCAACCATGCAAGGGTTGATGTGTTTGACCTTGAGGGAAGATCTGCTCTTCATTTGGCTGCCGAAAAAGGTTACATAGAAGTTTGCGATGCTTTGCTAACAAACAAAGCATTCATAAATTCAAAATCCAGAGTTGGTAGAACAGCATTACATTTGGCCGCCATGAACGGTTATGCTGACCTGGTTAGGTTAGAAAATTTTGTCGTTATTCAAAGAAGCATTTTAATTATATATAATAAATTAATGATATCATTCGTCATTCTTTTAGTTTTTTAATAAAAGAACACAACGCGATGATAGATGTTTTGACACTTCGCAAACAAACGCCTCTTCATTTGGCAGCAGCAGCCGGACAAATTGAAGTTTGCAAACTTCTTTTAGAATTGGGTGCGAGCATCGATGCCACCGACGATCTCGGTCAAAAACCGATACACGTTGCCGCATTGAATAATTATTCGGATGTTGTCCAATTGTTTTTGCAACATTATCCGAGCGTGGTCACAGCCTCGACAAAGGCAAGCAACATGGTTTTTCAATACCTTTTCCTACCCATCACCCGCGCATGCACGACTAAAAAACAATCATTGTTTTTTTTTTTAGGATGGAAACACTTGTGCTCACATAGCAGCCATACAAGGCTCCGTAGCCGTTTTGGAAGAATTGATGAAATTCGATCGTCAAGGAGTCATCGCTGCTCGAAATAAAATTACGGAAGCTACTCCCTTGCAATTGGCTGCGGAAGGGGGTCATGCAGATGTTGTGAAAATGCTAGTGAGAGCCGGCGCTTCTTGTACCGACGAAAACAAGGTTGGTGCCACCCACTTGTGGAAAATCATTATTATTATTATTATTATTATTATTATTATTATTTGTTTTTATAACAATTTCAGGCTGGTTTTACGGCAGTTCATTTAGCTGCTCAAAATGGACACGGACAAGTTTTGGAAGTCATGAGAAGTTCTCAGTCGTTGCGGGTATCATCTAAAAAACTCGGAGTCACTGCTTTGCACGTTGCCGCTTACTTTGGTCAAGCCGGTACGCCCCCCTCCCTCCCCCTATTATTTATTTAAAATCATTCATTGAAATATAATTTATGAAAATATCATTTTAAATCTGGTGGGGTTTTAGATACCGTTCGTGAATTGCTCACCTACGTTCCGGCTACCGTTAAATCTGATCCACCGAGTGGCGTAGGACTAGTAGAAGAATTGGGAGCCGAGTCCGGTATGACTCCACTTCATTTAGCTTCTTATTCGGGAAATGAAAACGTTGTTCGTTTGTTATTAAATTCTGCCGGAGTTCAAGTGGATGCAGCGACGACGGAAAATGTAATTTTATTACCAACAAAAAAAAAAAAGAATTTTTTTCATTTCGAAATCAAAATTTATTTATTTTTTTTTTTTTTAGGGTTACAATTCCCTTCATTTGGCATGCTTCGGAGGACATATTACGGTTGTGGGTTTGCTATTAAGCAGGTCGGCGGACATGCTTCAAAGCGCGGACCATCACGGTAAAACAGGTTTGCACATAGCTGCCACGCATGGTCATTATCAAATGGTGGAGGTTTTACTCGGACAGGGAGCGGAAATTAATGCCACGGATAAAGTGAGTAAAAAAAAAATTTTTTTGGTTTTCCCTTCCATTTTGTCAACGTGGAGTTAAATTTTTTTTTTTTTTTTTTATTTTTTTTTTTACGAAAAGAACGGATGGACGCCACTTCATTGCGCTGCACGTGCTGGATATCTATCCGTCGTTCGTTTATTAGTAGAATCGGGAGCATCACCAAAATCGGAAACGAATTACGGATCCCCTGCGATTTGGTTCGCAGCTTCCGAGGGTCACAATGACGTATTGGAATATTTGATGACGAAAGAACACGATACCTATAGTTTGATGGAAGATAAAAGATTCGTTTACAATTTGATGATATGCGGGAAAAATAATAAGAATCGACCCATCGAAGAATTTATTTTAGTTTCTCCAGCTCCGGTCGACACGGCTGCCAAACTCTCCGCCATATTAGTTAATCTTGCGACGAAGGTAAAAAAATACTAATACCTTTTTTTTTTTTTTTTTTTTTTAAAAAAATAAGAGTACTATTTTTCAATCGTAAAATTTAGGAAAAAGAAAGATCTAAAGATTTGGTTGAAGCTGGAAAACAATGCGAAGCCATGGCAACAGAATTATTGGCATTGGCAGCAGGAGCGGATTCAGCCGGAAGAATTTTAACGGCGTTAGATAGAAGGAATATTGAATTTTTAGATGTTTTAATTGAAAACGAACAAAAGGAAGTCATAGCGCATACCGTTGTTCAAAGGTATCTTCAGGTGAGAGGATGCCTACGATCCTGGCTGGCACGGAATTTTTTTTGTTTCCCGACGGACAACATTCATCGTATATCTGAACATTTCTTTTTTTCTTTTCACAGGAACTCTGGAAAGGAAACTTAATGTGGTCTGCATGGCGTTTGATGTTTTTGTTCCTATTATTCATAATATGTCCTCCGATTTGGGTTTTTTTTACTCTTCCCTTAGGTCATTCTTTTTACAAAGTACCAATTATCAAATTCATGTCTTATTTAACGTCTCATATTTACCTAATGTTATTTTTAATGTTGGTCGGCATAACGCCGATTTATCCGGTCGTTAGAAACACTCTGTTGCCTTACTGGTACGAATGGACCCTTTTGGTCTGGCTTTCCGGTCTTTTATTAAACGAATTGACGAATCCGAGCGATAAATCGGGTCTCGGTTGGATAAAATTAGCCGTCCTCCTATTTGGAATATTCGGAGTCGCTCTTCACCTTTTGGGACTGTTCATAGATCGTCCATATTGGCCAACTCTCATGTATTTAAGAAATCAATTGTTTGCTTTGTCTTTTCTACTTGCTTGCGTACAAATTTTAGATTTTTTATCTTTTCATTATTTGTTCGGACCATGGGCCATTATAATTGGCAACCTCATGAAAGACTTGGCCAGGTTTTTGGCCGTTTTAGCCATATTCGTATTCGGATTTTCAATGCACATCGTCGCGTTGAATCAACCTTTTCGAAATCTCACTCCGCAACAAGTTCAAGCAAATGTTAAACCTCATCCCTATCAGGGATTGTTCGGAGAAGGTAATCATCATCATCATCATCATCGTATTGTTTGTTGCTTGCTTGCTTTTTATTATTATCATTATTATAATTGATTCTTTTTTTTTTCAAGTGAGAATGAATCCTCTCATGGCGTTCGAACTACTTTTTTTTGCCGTTTTCGGTCAAACGACGCCACAAAATTTACAAGGGACTACGATTCAACCGTGGTGGACGTTAATACTATTTAAAATAACTGGAGGTAAACATTATTATTATTATTATAATTTACTCAATGTGAATAGTCACGTGAGGAAATTTTTATTTGTGTCAAAGGTTATCCGATTGATAAATTTTCCTTTGTTTTTTGTTGAGGTATTTACATGTTGGTATCCGTGGTAGTACTCATAAACCTTCTCATTGCTATGATGAGCGACACGTATCAAAGAATTCAAGCTCAATCCGATATCGAATGGAAATACGGTTTGGCAAAATTGATAAGGAACATGCACAGAACAACCACGACGCCATCACCCATCAATTTGATGACGACATGGTTAATAATACTGCTAAGATTTTGCAAACAGAAAGGTAGGTAACTAACTACGGGGGGAGGGGAGGGGAGAAGGAGGGGGAACGGTTTTAATTACAAAATGAATTTTTCTTTTAGTCATTCAAAGAAAACGACCGAGTCTCGTACAAATGATGGGTCTACAATCGAGATCTCGCGTGAGTCCGAGAACGAAAGTTGCCACAAAATGGTTGGCAAAAGTTAAAAAAGGACAAGTTGCACCGAAAGGTAAAATGAACCTCATCTTTATGTAAATTCTTCCGGTGAAAGGTAAACAGAAGAAAACTAATTATCTTTTTTAGATCCCGTCGCATTATCCGTCGTGCATTTAAGTCCTTTGGGATCTCAAATGAGTTTCGGGAATGCGACGAGAATAGAAAACGTTGCCGATTGGGAAGCCATTGCGAAAAAATACCGGGCACTCATGGGAGAATCGAGCGAAGATAGAATGGGAAAGGATACGAATCAACAAGATGTGACGTCATCTACAATCACTCTATTGGAAAATAACAATAACAATAATAATAATAATAGTAATAATAATAATAATAATGCAACATCGTCATGAAGTTAAATTATTGGTAAGTGAAAAAAATCAATTAATTATTAATTAATTTATTAACAAACATTTTCGATAATTTACTCTATCGAAAGGTTCAAAAAACAATACACACGGATTGTTGTTGTTGTTTGTTTGTTTGTTTGACTGTTTGTTTGTTTGTTTGTCGAATTCTTTTTTATTTTTTTCTTTTAGAACGTTAACGACGACGAGGTTAAAGTTTTTTTCAAGTTCGTTTGTTTCTAAAAAAAAAAAAACAAAAAAAAACAAAAAATTTTTCGCAATAATAAAACGTACTAATAATAATAATAATAATAATAATAATAATAATAATAATAATAATTACTACTGCGTTCAAAAGATCAATAAAATCAATTTTTTTTTCTTCGATTGTTTTATTATTTCGTCACTAATCAATAATTTTATTCGGAAAAATTTTGAAAAATTAAATTTTGAAAATATGACGTTCGTTCGTTTGTTTGTTTGTTTAATGGCGGAAAGTTTTTTTTTTTTTGTTGCAATTCGTTTCGTATAAAATTTAAATCAATTAAACGTTTGTTCGTTCGTTTGTTTGTTTGTTTATCGAATTGCAATCAAATGATAAACACGCATGTGGTTCTTCTTCTTTTTCTCTCTCTCTCTCTCTCTCTTCACGGAAATTGTTAGAATACGAAACAGGAAATGAAAATCATTTCGTGCGTGAATAAAAAAAAATTAACGACGACAACAGGTCAACCGAAAGCTGCATTTATACGATTTATTATTATTATTATTATTATCATCATCGATTTTTTTTTTTTTTTATTAATTAAAAAAAATTTCAAAATTTTTCTTTTATCTCTTGTTTGTTGTTGTTATTATTATTATTGCAAAGTTCTATTACAAACGAACCGTGAAAGAAAAATAATAATAATAATAATAATAATAATCATTAATGATTTTTTCGTATTGTTTGATTGACGTTTGTTCGATTGTCCGACGACAACAACAACAACAACCACAAACGAAATTTTTATGAAAAAAAAAAAAAAATTTTTTTTTAAATTTAATTTTTAAAATCAAATGAAAAAAAATCCTCCCGCCGTCTCCCCACTTTAATCAACAAACGAACGGTAGTTTTATCATTATTATTATTATTATTAATTTAATATTTATTTACTTGATTAGATTCTTGACATTAAATTCCATAAACGAGAGAGAGAGAGAAGATTATTTATTTAATTGGCCTATTCGATCGTCGATGTGCGTTTTATTCAATGCCAACAAACGTTTAACAGTTTTTTTTTTTTTTTTTTAGCATTAAAAATAATAATGATAATAATAATAATAATAATGATAATTTTTACTATCGTATTCTTTAATAATTTTACACGCGCGGTAATTTTTTCTTATTTTTTTTTTTTTTAATAAACGAGTAATAAAATGCGAAAAATTTATCGTTTTATAATAAATAATTTTTACAATTATTTAAATTAAATTAACAACATTTCGAATGCGTTTTTTTAATTACACGTTTTTTTTAAAAATCGACGTGGTTTTAGTATGAAGAATGAATATATGTGCCTCCCGTTCGCGTGTCAAGGCTGTCGTCGACACACAATAAAATTAAAAAAAAAAAAAAAAAAAAGTCGAAAGTCTACAAAAAAAAATTATTATTATTATTTTATTACCGTATACGTGAAGACGAAGACGACAGCAAATGACGTCATATAAAGTAATTAAAA